CCAGCTCCGTCTCCATCATGGTCGCCAACGTGCTGCGCCTGTTTGCGGTGAGGGCCGCGGGGCCGGGCTGGGTGTCCAGCGTCTCTCCCGTCCTCGCCCTGGGGTGGCCCAAGTCTCACTCCTTTACTTCTTCTGGAAGAGTCTCCGTTTTAATCACTAGAGTTCACACAGCGTCAAAGAAGTCCTGGGGGCCCGACGCAGGCTTGAGTCGGATCCACCCGACCACTCCAGCCGCCCTTGTCTACCCGGCCCCGCAAGGGCGCCCCTTCCCGGGCAGGTGCCACCTACGCCTCTGGCCGGTTGGCTGCGGAGGGCGGCCTGACTTCAGTCACCATTTGCCAGCCTGCTTGAGTGCCCTTGTTCTGGGCACACCCCCTCCACCCACACAAGGTGCTCCTGCCCCCTCGGCCTGCGGAGCTTTATTTGGAGCCCGGGCCTTTCCTCCAGAGCAGCAACTGGGACGTGTCCCGGGGCTGCTGTTGGGGGTGGATAGGCCCGAAAGGTCTGGACCTTCTCTTTTTCCATCATTTAAGTTTATTTTCAAAACGTCTGCCTTGAACCCTCCCTCAAGGGGCGTCTGAGAGCAGGGTGGGGCGTTCCCTTCTGACCGCTGGTCTCCTGCACCCCGCCCTGCGTAGGTGCCCGGGCTGGCCCCGCACTGTCCTCAAAGGTAGGGAACTGTCCTGTGAGGGCAGCGTGTTCCTTGCAGTCCTAGGGGCCAGCAGAGTCGGGATTAGGGGGCTTTGGCACACAGGTTTGGGGGGTTTGTGGGACAGTTTTTCTGGGGTTCTGTGGCGGGAGGGGCCTGTGTGCCTCCGGCTCTCTGTGAAGGAGGAAGGCCTAGCTTCCATCTGCCCAGGGGAGGAACTTCTCTTTCCCCAGAGCTTCTCTCTCCCCGGAGCAGCGTCTGTGTTTGCTCCAGGCGTGCGGGGCCGCCCCGCTCCGCATCGTCTGCGCACATGGAAGCGCCCATCCCCGTTTCCTCGGATTGGCAGTGTTGATATGTCACCTCCACGCTGGCACCAGACGGGCTGTGTGGCCGCCCCGGGGTTTTTCACCCGCCTGTGTGTGTTCCCGGCCCTGCCTAGAGCTCTAGTTTCTGTCTCTGTTCTCTGGGTCGAATGCAGAGATCCCAGACCCCAAGGCCTTCAGGGGCCCAGCTGGGTATTCAGGCGGGCAGGACTCTGTGAACCCAGGGCCCGCTGCTGCTAGCTCAGCCCAGACTGAGGTTGTGCTGCCCGGCTAGAAATGCAAACATTAATAAAAACTGTGCAACACACAGTCACAGGCAAGATACTGCAATTCCTGGTCTAAAGGAAATACGTTCATTCCCCAGCCACATCACCGAGCTGGCAGGCATTTTAAATTAACTTCCCTCAGGAGGTCCAGGGGGCATGGGAAGGTTGTTCCCAAACTCAAGTGTCCGGGAGGGCTTGAGGACCACAGCATTATTCACAGAGCTGTGGCCACTGGGCCTTTCTCGTCTCCTGTACTCCTCAGTTCTCTCTCTCTCTCTCTCTCTCTCTCTCTCTTTCTCTCTCTTTCTCCTTGTTTCTCTCCACCCGCACCTTCCCTCTTTCTCTCTCCCTGCCACTCCCGGCTTCCTTTTCCTGCTGTCTCTATACTTTCTATCCTGCTTCAAACAACCCTGGAGCAGTCCCCCTCCCTCCTTCCAGAAATTCTCCTCTCTGGCCTTCACACCAGCTCCTGCTGTAGCCCCTCTTTACCCTGGAGCCCTGGAACCCCCTCTTGGCGGCCTTCTCAGCCCCGTGCCTCCGCCTCCACACTCCCCGGTCAGTTCAGCCTCTGATCTCTGCTGTTAATCACTGTAACGCATGCAGAGAAACCCAGTTTCCAACAAACGCCATTCTAGGCCAGACACTGCTTTAAATCAAACACCCCCTGGTGCTTCCCTGTCTGCCCTAATCCCTGCTAGGGCTGTCCGCCCCTGCAGACCATCCCTTGGTGTGAATCAAGAAACGGTGCTTTCCCCTGGGGCCGACTGGGACAGGCAGATGCAGCTGGATGGGCTGCAGGCCCTCTGCTGGGGGGGTCTTGTTCAGGACACAGCTTGTGCCAGTATACGTGGCGGTCCTGCCCTCTCCCCTAGTCCTGCATACCTCCCACATGCACAACATTCACAGAGTTCTCAGGCCCACTCACAAAACGCAGACCTCGCCCACAGCTTCTAGCCTTTCCAGGTGGCTGCTCCAGCTGGCCCCAGGTCCCCACCCCAAGCCTTCTGTGCCCCATCTGTGTCCCAGGTCCCAGCCCCACACCTTCTGTGCCCCGTCCGTTCCTGAGCCCCCCTTGCCCTCCCTCTCTCGAGTTACTGACCTCCGTCCCCAGCCCGGCTGTCCCGTTCCTGAGCCCCCCTTGCCCTCCCTCTCTCGAGTTACTGACCTCCGTCCACAGCCCGGCTGTCCTTCCCGCCCTCCAGATACCGCAGATCAGCTACGCCTCCACAGCCCCGGAGCTCAGCGACTCCACGCGCTATGACTTCTTCTCCCGGGTGGTGCCGCCCGACTCCTACCAGGCCCAGGCCATGGTGGACATCGTGAGGGCACTGGGATGGAACTATGTGTCCACGCTGGCCTCTGAGGGCAACTATGGCGAGAGCGGGGTTGAGGCCTTCGTTCAGATCTCCCGAGAGGCTGGTGAGCTGGGGGCTCCGAGGCACCAAGGAGTCTCCATAGTGTGGGCCCGGGGCCCTCGGGTGGGGCAGAAGCAGAAAGATGGGGGGCCCGGGTCCATGGTGGGTCGAGGTTGCCTGGCTGGTGCTCCATGTGGGCAGGCCTCTTTCTTTTGGACGACTCAGCCCTGCCTCAGGCTTGGCGGAGGGTGCAGGCCGGATTTCACCCCTGCAGATCCTTCAGTCAGGCTACACAGTCCTATGTAGCAGGGGCCAGGTGGGTGTGTGGGTGGGTGGGACAGAAGCTGACTTTGGCACCCCCAACACCCAGGGGGGGTCTGTATTGCCCAGTCTATCAAGATTCCCAGAGAACCGAAGCCGGGAGAGTTCAACAAGGTGATCAGGAGACTCATGGAGACACCCAATGCCCGGGGCATCATCATCTTTGCCAATGAGGATGACATCAGGTGGGACAGTGGCACAATCACTGGGCTCCTGGGGCTCTCCCTGAGGGTCCCACCCCTCCTCTTGCACATCACCACCTTACACACCCTCCCGCCTCCCTTTCCCCTGCTCCCCGCACCCCCCACCTTCCCTGCTGCCACCTCTGATTCTGGTGCCCCCAGCAGCAAAGCAGCCTGGTCCGGGGAGATGCCACAAGCCCAGACTGAATAGCGCACAGAACATGTGTCTGTGTTTACAGCTCCCGGAGTGTGGGGAGGGACCTGTGGGCAGACCCCAGTGCAGAAAAGGAGCTGTCAGGGAAGGAGCCCGGGGTCCACACAGAGGCTGCAGGCCCCAGCCTGAGTTCATCTCCAGCCTGGGAGGCTGGGCGTGACGCTGGTGGAGGCATGTGGGGAGGGGGTGGCTTCGAACTGGATTTTTCCCCAAGGAGCCCCTCTGAGTCCCCTGTACAATGGGTTACAGTGGGCAGAGCAGGTGGGCAGGCCTAGGGTCAGAGGAGAGCCCAGGGAAAGTGCCCCAAATGCCCCAAGCCCCGTTTTTCCTGAGCGACAAGGATCTGGTGAGTGATTGCAGAGCAGGGGAGATGGACAGAGTGGGAAGGAATATGGGCCAAGCTGGAGGAGGCTCCCGGGCCCTCCCTCACCCCAGCCCTGCTCCTCCCAGGCGGGTCCTGGAGGCCGCTCGCCAGGCCAACCTGACTGGCCACTTCCTGTGGGTCGGTTCCGACAGCTGGGGGGCCAAGACCTCGCCCATCTTGAGCCTGGAGGACGTGGCCGTCGGGGCCATCACCATCCTGCCCAAAAGGGCCTCCATCGACGGTGAGTCCAGGGGCGCTGCGGCCCCCACCCCAGCGTCTCCCCAGCACCCCCTCTTGGGGACAATCATTTTCTGCATCTGTGTAATTGGTGCCATAATCCAGATCCCTTCTCAGCTCCCCGGATCCTATGATTCTGATCATCTGTGGACGCGTCCCTCCGAGCAGTGCTCGACTGGGATGGCGTGCGAGGAAAAGGACACTCCACTCACCGGATGGGGAGAAACTGTTGGTTTTTTGTTTGTTTGTTTGTTTTTGTTTTTTTAATGAGACGGAGTCTCGCTCTGTCACCCGGGCTGGAGTGCAGTGACCCGATCTCAGCTCACTGCAAGCTCCACCTCCTGAGTTTACGCCATTCTCCTGCCCCAGCCTCCTAGTAGCTGGGACTACAGGCGCCCGCCGCCTCGCCTGGCTAGTTTTTTGTATTTTTAGTAGAGACGGGGTTTCACCGTGTTAGCCAGGATGGTCTCGATCTCCTGACCTCATGATCTGCCCACCTCGGCCTCCCAAAGTGCTGGGATTATAGGCGTGAGCCACCACGCCCGGCCAGTTTTGTTTTCTAATTTAGTGCCTGTGTTTCTAGTGCTGCCAAAGACACTCTAATCTGAGGGTGAGGGTGGGAGGGAGAGAAACCAAGGATATGGGATATACCATCCTGTTGATCAAAGTGATGAGGCCCTTGCACCCCCAGTCCCACCTGTGGATCTGGATGAATCCAGCAGGAACAGATGGTTCACTGTACAATAGGATTGCTCATTTTCCCCAAGGCCGGACTGAGGACGCCTTGGTGACATACTTCAGGGCTATTTTTTGAAATATAGACCCTGGAAAGGCTGAGCCCTGGCTGCGGGGGCCTCCCAGTCTTAGGGGGGATATACACCGGCACACCTTTTATTTCAGCTACGATGCATTTGGGCGCAGGTGGCAGCCTGGACTGAGAGTGGTTTTAGCGATGAAGGCATCTCCTCACAAGACACAGGGTCTGAGAGGTGGCGACTTTAGGTGTGGGGCAGTGAGTGAATGATGCTCTCAAAGCCCTGGGCTCTGTCCATTCTTTTATTCCACCAAGAGAAGGAGCAGGGGTAAAAGTCTTTCAAATGGTGAGGCTCTGCGTTTGCATCAGCATGTAAAGGCTGCCCTGGAACCTCCAGTTGGCTCTGAGTCCACCAGTCAGAACTTGGTCACCTGGCCACTCCTAGCTGAAAAGTGAGCAAGTGGCAGAGAGACACAGGAGAAACACGGCTGGCTCAGGTCAGCGCCTCCCTCCCCCTCCTTCCGTCGCTGTAGGATTTGACCAGTACTTCATGACTCGGTCCCTGGAGAACAACCGCAGGAACATCTGGTTTGCCGAGTTCTGGGAGGAGAATTTTAACTGCAAACTGACCAGCTCAGGTACCCAGTCAGATGATTCCACCCGCAAATGCACAGGTGAGAGCTGCGCAGGGTGGGGAGGCTGGGGAGGGGGAAGGTGGGAGGCCAGGTTGGGTGCATGGCGGCCGGGCACACTTTCTCTGGGCATCCCTAGGACAGGCGAGGAACGCATCGGCCGGGACTCCACCTACGAGCAGGAGGGCAAGGTGCAGTTCGTGATTGATGCAGTGTACGCCATTGCCCATGCCCTCCACAGCATGCACCAGGCGCTCTGCCCTGGGCACACAGGCCTGTGCCCGGCGATGGAACCCACCGATGGGCGGACGCTCCTGCAGTATATTCGAGCTGTCCGCTTCAATGGTGAGTGGGTGCCTGCACCCCTGCAGCAGTGAAGGGCAGCTTGGGGGCTGGATTTGTCTGAGGCCTGGGATGACCTCAGGGTAGAAGGGCTGGGAGAGGCTGAGTGTCTAATGGGGGCACCTGGGGCTGAGTGCCAAAGACGTGAGACAAGTTCCGGTCCCCACGTTTTAACACCTGCTCCCTCCCCAGGCTTCAGTGTTCCCTGCGCTGGTTTGCACCGTTGAGATGCTGGGGAGCTTCTCTGATCCCTTCTGCCAGGAACCCTCAGTGGGTCACAACACACTCCTCTCCACTGCGCAGAGCTTGAGGGTGTCTGGACCCTGGGGGCGCACATGGGGCATTTACGTAGGGACATGCCACCCACTCAGTCATGCACTAGGCACAAGTGTGGGTCTGACCTGTGCCTTGGCCCCAGGCTTGGTGTGTGGTCAGGGCTCAAAATTGTGTCTTTTGAGAAGACCCCAGTGGACTCAAGCTGTGTCACTATCCTTTACACAGTTCTAAACTCCACTCTTCACTAAGCACTCACTCACCACCTTCTCTCCCCCATGCTCTCTGCTAATCAAGTCAACTTAACATGACCCCAGCGCAGCTCTGCAGGCGAGTGGAGCAAGCTCGTAAGAAAAATACAGCTCATTGTTCAAGTCATTCCAGTCTCATACTGTCACTCAGACCTCTCTCCATGTCGGAACTCATCCCCTAGCCTGGACCGTGAAACCTTTTTCATTTTTAATTGTGATAAAATGCACATAATATAAAATGTATCACCTTAACCATGTTTAAGTGTAGAGTTCAGTGATATTAAATACATTCAGGCCGGGTGCGGTGGCTCACTCCAGTAATCCCAGCACTTTGGGAGGCCAAGGCAGGTGGATCACTCGAGGTCAGGAGTTCGAGACCAGCCTGGCCAACATGGTGAAACCCCGTCTCTATTAAAAATACAAAAATTAGCTAGGCATGGTGGCGAGTGCCTGTAATCCACGCTACTCGGGAAGGCTGAGACAGGAGAATCGCTTGAACCCAGGAGGCAGAGGTTGCAGTGAGCTGGGATTGTGCCACTGCACTCCAGCCTGGGCAACAGAATGAGACTGTCTCAAATAAATAAATAAATAAATAAAAATAAATTCACAATGTTATGCAACCATCACCACCATCTATCCCCAGAACTCTTCATCTATGAAACCATAACTCTGTACACATTAAACACTTCCCCATGCCCTCCTCCCGCCAGCACCTGCAGCCACCGTTCCACTGCTCCTCTCTACGAATTGTCTGTCCTCGGTACCTCCTGTGGTGGAATCAGACAGTGTTTGCCCATGTGTGACTGGCTTGTTTCACTGAGCATCATGTCCTCAAGGTCCATCTATTTTATAGCATGGGTCAGAACTGCCTTCCTCTTGAAGGCTGAATCGCATCCCATCGTGGGAATGGCCCCATCATGCTCGTCCGTTCTCTGTCAGTGGACCCTCGGGTTGCTCTCATCTTGTGGCTATGCGAATAACGCTGCTGTGAACACGGCTGTACAAGTATTTCTTTGCCGCCCTGCTTTCTAGTCTTTTGGGCATCTACCCAGGAGTGGAATTGCTGGGTCGTGTGTTTAATTTTTTGAGGAGCCTCCACACTGCTTTCTGCAGCGGCTGCAGCCTTTTCCCATCCACCGTGCACAAGGGTTCCGACCTCTCCGCACGCGCAACACACTTGTGATTTTCTGGTTCTTGGATAGAAGCCATCCCAATGGGTGAAGGGGGATTTCCCTGCGGCTTGGATTTGCACGTCCCTCATGAGCAGTCATGCTTGTTAAGCGCCTCCTTTCTCCTGCTGGTCCCTGGGGCTCCCCGGGAGACAGCTCTGCTGGGCTGGAGGACCAGCAAGGATGACGAGCTCTCTCTCCAGGCAGCGCAGGAACCCCGGTGATGTTCAACGAAAACGGAGATGCGCCCGGGCGGTACGACATCTTCCAGTACCAGGCCACCAACGGCAGTGCCAGCAGTGGCGGGTACCAGGCGGTGGGCCAGTGGGCAGAGACCCTCAGACTGGATGTGAGTGTGCAGACCAAGCCCCGGGTGGGCATGGGCCCAGGATCCCGGAGGCAGAGGCCCCCAGCCTGTGTTTTGTGCGTCCCAGGTGGAGGCCCTGCAGTGGTCTGGCGACCCCCACGAGGTGCCCTCGTCTCTGTGCAGCCTCCCCTGTGGGCCGGGGGAGCGGAAGAAGATGGTGAAGGGCGTCCCCTGCTGTTGGCACTGCGAGGCCTGTGACGGGTACCGCTTCCAGGTGGACGAGTTCACGTGCGAGGCCTGTCCGGGGGACATGAGGCCCACGCCCAACCACACCGGCTGCCGCCCCACGCCTGTGGTGCGCCTGAGCTGGTCCTCCCCCTGGGCAGCCCTGCCGCTCCTCCTGGCCGTGCTGGGCATCATGGCCACTACCACAGTGGTGGCCACCTTCATGCGACACAACAACACGCCCATTGTCCGGGCCTCGGGCCGAGAGCTGAGCTACGTCCTCCTCACCGGCATCTTCCTCATCTACGCCATCACCTTCCTCATGGTGGCTGAGCCTGGGGCCGTGGTCTGTGCCACCCGCAGGCTCTTCCTGGGCCTAGGCACGACCCTCAGCTACTCTGCCCTGCTCACCAAGACCAACCGTATCTACCGCATCTTTGAGCAGGGCAAGCGCTCGGTCACACCCCCTCCCTTCATCAGCCCCACCTCACAGCTGGCCATCACCTTCAGCCTCACCTCCCTGCAGGTGGGTCCGTAGGCTCCCAAGGGCCAGGGCATGGGGGGGACTGTCCACAAATTAACGAAGCAGAAAAGGCCAGGCACAGTGGCTCACGCCTGTAATCCCCGCAATTTGGGAGGCTGAGGTGGGTAGATCACCTGAGTCCAGGAGTTTGAGACCAGCCTGGGCAACATGGCATGATCCTGTCTCTGCAAAAAAATATGAAAATTAGCCGGGCATGGTGGTGCATGCCTGTAGTCCTAACTACTTGGGAGGCTGAGATAGGAGGATCGCTTTAGCCGGAGAGTTGAAGGTTGCTGTGAGCTGAGATTGCACCACTGCAGTCCAGCTTGGGTGTCAGAATGAGACCCTGTCTCAAAACAAAAAGAGAAATGCTGTTTTTACAGCCACTCTTTTCTGTTTTAGTTCCTGTGGGGCTTTTTTTCTTTCTTTCTTTCTTTTTTTTTGAGACAGCGTCTCACTCTGTCGCCCAGGCTGGAGTGCAGTGGCTCAATCTCTGCTCACTGCAAGCTCTGCCTCCCGGGTTTACGCCATTCTCCTGCCTCAGCCTCCCAAGTAGCTGGGACTACAGGCGCCCGCCACCTCGTCCGGCTAATTTTTTGTATTTTTCAGTAGAGATGGGGTTTCACCGTGTTAGCGAGGATGGTCTTGATCTCCTGACCTCGTGACCCACCCGCCTCAGCCTCCCAAAGTGCTGGGATTACAGGCGTGAGCCACCGCGCCCGGCCTTTTTTTTTTTTTTTTTTAAGGCCACAGGAAATGGAGCTCCTCCTATCCTGTAACAGCAGCTCTGTTAGGGCCGCCAGCTCCCCTGCTGGGTCCCCGAAGGAGAACAGGGCAGTAAGGTGGGGAGTGTGGGCCTCCAGAGACCTTTCTGTGCAACAGTGAAGTTATTTTCATAAACCAAACATGCTCTTCCACAATTTGGCTCACATATGGAAATAGGACGAAGAGCTATCTGACTGGTTTTCCTGTTTGCACAAGGGAGTCTCTGCTGTCCTGTTCACTGGGGCAGTGTGGATAAGAGGCATAGGGTCCAACATTTTACTGTGGAGTGGAGATCGAATCCCACCCAGTGGCCAGTGTTTCGTGCGGTGTGTGCATTAAAAAATGCAGCTCCTTTGGGGGATTTTCGTAAGACGGTAAAGTTAGTACAGCCTTGGAGACAACTCTTGGAGTCCAGGGCGCCCTGGATGTTTTCTGTGCGAAGGGCACGGGAGACAGATGGCTTGGGGAGGGTGACCTGGTGTGACACTGCAGGGCCAGCTGGGTTTCAGGGCCAGGTGGAGGGCGGCCTCAGTGCGAACACCTGCTCACCCATTTGGACACAGCACTGTGCACTCCCAGTGAGCCCCTTCTCTGTTGGTTCCACACACACCACATGTCTCAGGTCATGCAGTTCTCCGTGACTAGGAGGTACTCCCATCTTCTTCCAGATAACAGGGCCTGAGTGTCCCCCGGTCAGGCCCAGGGTCTCCGTGTGCCACACATCCTGAGCAGGTGCCCTCTACGTCCCGGCCTGAGGTGCTCCGTGCTCCCTCACCCCCAGGTGGAGATGCTTAGACCCCACTGGGGACCCCCAGCTCTCCTCCCCAGCCTCAGTCATCGCCCGCCCCACTTCCCAGATACAAGGGATGTTTTAAAAAACACAAGCCTGCAACTGCACTGGGTGTTTTTGCCATGACTACATCATGACGAGATGTGAAGTGACATCTCATTGTGGTTTTAATTTGCCTGCACTTAGTACGAGTGCACCGGGCATGGGCTTTCCTCTCCGGGGCTCAGCCTGTTCCTGTCCTCTGCTCATTTGCTGTTATTTTGCAGGAGTTCATTCCGAGTGAGGCGTGCTGGCTCGCTCTCAGCTCCACGGGCTGTGGCATCTGTGGGCCATTTTGCTTGTTACCGCTGTGCGTCCCTGGACTTGCGTTTTTGTTTCTCATAAGCAACTTTTTTTTTTTTTTTTTTCCTACCTGGAGCCTTGTTCTAGTAGGAACTTCCAAACATTTTGGAAGGTCCTTTGTTCAGGAGTCTGCTGCCTTTGGGAGAAGCACAAAAAGCTGCTTCTTCTGGGTTGGCAGATGACTGCAAAGCATCCCTTCCAGCAGGCTCACATGGCCCCGCTCCAGGTGCTCAGCACGGCACTGGCGTGCAGGCTGGATTCCAGATCCCCGCCCCCAATCAGGTGCCCTTGTGCAGTGAACAACCTGCACAAACGTGCGGGGCAGCCCTTCCAGGGTCCTGCCTTTATGCAGGTGGCTTCGTTCCTGTTCCCAGCTTTCTTTGGCTCGAGGTTGTGTTTCCTGTCATGTGAGGGAATGGTAACTCCACCTCCTCCCTGTGAGGGCCTGCACAGACTCCAGTCCTCCTCAGCATCAGCTCCCATTCCTGCTCCTCCCCACCGAGTGCTCCTTTGCTTCTCTTGCCTGGGACGTGCCCTTATTTTGAAGCTCACTACATGTGAGGAGGCTAGCGAGGCGGTGCAAGTCCGGCCTCAGTTCCAGGGCTTCCGGCCTCAGCCGTCTACCTTGAAGGGGCGCAGTAAATGGCATTGGTAATGGCTAGAATGCAGGAAGAGGACACCAAGCTGCCTCTTACGCACACTGTGCTGATGTTGCCAACATATATGGCCAGCACAGCCCTTCTCCACGGCTGCCAGGTCACGGGCCTTTGGCTGGGTGGATGGGCTCCTCTTGGGCTGTCCCTTCCTGGGCTGCCATCCCCTCTTCTCCACTGAGTGCTCCTGAGAGGCACCACGAAGAGGGGGACACCCCACTCCATAGGCAGAGCCTCAGGGGCATCCCGACCTGCAGGGGCCTCCATCAGGGCTGGAACAGGGGCCTCCGTCAGGGCTGGAACAGGGGCCTCCGTCAGGGCTGG